TGTTCTAATGTATCATTAAAGCCATTCTGATGTCAGGATTCAGCTTGAAGCACGGACTACATTTTCCCTGCTTACATATCACAAAATCAATAAAACCAACAATTGTTAAACAGAGAAAAATCGTACGTAGTGCAGATCAATTAGTCTCCCTCAGTAAACATGCTTGGATCATTCCTCCATCACAAGGAGTCTGTGGACATGAGAAGAAGCAGAGGATTTTGACTTAGGTTAAAAATAACCAAAATGGGGAAAATAACATTTCCCCTGCAGGGCTGCTATGAGATTAGAGATGATATAATGGGCACAAAGTGATCAATAAATCACAGTAATGATTATTATTTATCAGCATAATTAGGAGCTGCCATAGTAAAAGGGTCAAAGCACAGGATTTATGGTCAGAAAGAAGAGCTCCGTTGAGTACCACGGCAGGAAATAAAAGCCAGTGCTGTCAAGTGAACAACACTGAGACCCTTGTCAATCACACTGACACCGCACAATTCTGTGGTAATGTCCGACCGTGGGCCTTGCATGAGAGGGAAAAGAGAGGGATGGGAGAATCTCTCGATTCAGAGGGAGAAAGAGCTGTCCAGTGGAGAGTTCAAAGTGCTAATGCCATAACCCACTTCTCCTCTTCCCAAATATTCTAAGTTACCCTTCAGGGGGAGGGGAAAAAGCAGGTCCTTGTTCTAAGTACCCATTATACAATCAAAGTGCTCCTTGTAAAACACAATTTGGTTCAAGGTATTCGTCTATTTCAAATGATTCAGTGACTCACCATTGCTGTGATAAAACTTGCAGCATGGTTTACCAGGCCCCAGAGCCCCAGGGTCTTCTCAACCCGGCTACGCTTTCAGATCCACTACCGTACGGTACTCTCCTCCCTCCATGCTCTGTACAGGCTATTACCACCACCTGTGATGGCCTCCTCCATTTTCACTTACGTGCCCACTCATCTTGTACGTCCCGCTTCCCTCTCCAGGAAGCCTTACTACCGGCTGAATTGCCTCTCCAGTGGAGAACTTCATGCCTCCATAGATGAATGAGCTACACTATATCGCAACTGTTTGTCCATTGGCTTGTTTTCTTTACTATTCTTTGAACATCTTACTTACTCACCTTTGTATCTCCAGTGCTTTATACAAGACATGAAACAGAGCAGATGCTCCCAAACAAATAAAACACAACAAAACAAAAAAATGAATGACTGTATGAAGCAAAGAGTGAATGACTGAGAGGCTGAAGTTGTTATGTGATACAGGAGATGAAGGAAGAGCTCTTCCCATTAGCTGGCAGACTGTCCTGCCTTCCTAAATGAGAAGGAGTGAAAGAGACAATAGTGTAATTCCTCCTGCTCTTTTTGGTTCTCATGCTTTAGTGTCAGAGATACTAAACTGGATGAACCACAGAATATCCTTCAATGAAACTAAGTAATCTTATATTTTTGAGATTAAAAAAACACTTTCTGGGGCGCCTTGGTGGCTCAGTTGGTTAAGTGTCCATGTCTTGATTTTGGCTCAGGTCATGACCTCAGGGTTGTGAGATGGAACCCCGCACCGGGCTCCACGCTGGGCACTGAGCCTGCTTTGGATTCTCTCTCTCCCACTCTCTGCCCCTCCTCCACTCATGGTATCTCTCACCTGTGCAAGCGCTTTCTCAAAAAATAAAACAAAACAAAACAGTTTTCCAGTTTACTTCTTACAGGTGACCAGAAAGAACTGTGCTTTTCATTAAACTGTGCTTTTCATTCCCATATGTCCTCTAGAAGCAACGATTTGGTATTTGCTGATTCAGTGTGCAAGCCGACGTTACATAACACAACTACCATGAATAACGAGAATAAAAAGCATATTGATCTAAAAACCTTCAGAGGGTTAAAGACTTCACCAGGGTGACTGGCCTCTTCATCATCCTGTCCTACTGAACCAGTCTCCATAAGAAGAGGGCCTCCAGTAGAGACCTGGGTTTTAATCTCAGGCCTGCCACTTACTAGCCATGTAACCTTGTTCAAGACACTAAATCCTTGCTATCTCATTTTCTTATCTGTAAAATGGAGTACTTTTTAAAACCCAACTTGTTTCACAGGGATCATACACAGAATCACATAGGTCCTGGGGGATGAAATAGTTTACACAATCAAGTACTGTGCGAATATGTATTATTCCTTTATGTTGTAATTCCAAATGTAAACTTAAGGTATTTCACAGAGAAATGTATGTAACACAATGAAGACCTCATGGTTAGAGACTAATAACCTTATGTTCTAGATTTCAGTGGAAAAGCCCGAGAAGGGACAAAACCAAGCTGATAAATTATGGAGTTACAAATGACAAACACAAAAGGATTGACTGAACATATCTGAGAATAAATAAGTGAATAATAATGACCCCTCCCCCTTTTCCTGATTTTCCCCTATGCTCTCCCACCCCGGGTTCAGTCCAGCTAGAATCCCTAAGTACTGAACTAGCCAGAGGGGCCTGTGAGCAGAATTCTCAGTAGCCTACAACAGGCAAGCTCAAATGTACCTAAACCTGGAACAGAGAGGAAAGCTGCCAAGTTCATGTTGGCCTCCGTCCTTCCCTCATCTGCTTGGAGCACCACAGCCAGAGCTCTTACATCTCAGATCCCCAGCCTCCTAGGGGTACTGCCTTCTCCTGACTCCCTTGAGAGTCACGTCACCTCTAAACACACTTTAAGAAAACAGGGAAACTAAAAACTACTTAGCATATAAGAAAATTCCTCACTTTTTTCCTTCACAGGCTGAACACCAGTGTGTGAATAAAAGTGAGAGGGACTTCTGTGAAAGCCTTTTCTGAGCCCTGTATTCCTAACTCCTAGGTCAACATCCTCAGGAACTCCAAAGAGCATCACATGAAAACAGTGAGGCTTATACACACACCACCTCTTGCCAGATAGAGTAAAATAAGGCATCAAACATCAGAGACTCGATAAATCTCTATCTTATCAAGGTCTTCTCTCCTAAGAAAGAAAAAGACAACCAAGACATTGTTAGGCCAAATAGAGATTTATGTGTACAGCCTTCTGTTTCACCTCATTTCTAAGATTATTTATAAGTCATTAAAAAAGATATTTAAATGCCCCAAACACATTTTGTTTTAATAGTGAAACGGCGAGGGGAGGGCATGCAAAAAACACCAGGGCCTTTGGTCTTGTTAATTTACATTTCTGCCTTGAAACAGGAAAGGCCAGCTTAAGAAGGAAGACACATGTCCTGTTTTTAACAAAAATTGTAATTCTCAGGCCCTCCAACAGATATGCTCACACTACCTAGTAACCCTGCTCCACTCAGGCCATTTCCAAATCCTGCCAGCGATGCTAGAGAACAGGAATTCTGTAAAATCTTCACAGACAAAACTGAACCAAGAGTCTGACATTCCCTAAGAGCAATCTTCTCCATACTGAACAAGGAAAACCTATGGGTGGCAAGGAAGAGTGTCTGTAACTGCAAACCCATTTTCTAAAGGCTAACATTCCACATGTTGCTGTATATCATGGAGGTAATTTTAAAATAGACCTTTGAAGTCTCATCTCTGTCCCTTCTCCACTCTTACTGTGACTCCTCCTCTTGCCCCATGCCTAAATGAAGCATCCCAACAGCCACTGGCTGGTGCCAGTCTCTGTACCCTCTCCTCGCTGCTCGAGGCAGAGAACTAGCCACACAGGCATCACCTGGCAGCTGGTTAGGAATGCAGAACCTCAGGTCTCACCCCAGACCTAGTCCATCAGAAACTGCATTTGACAAAGACCCCAAGTGATACGTATGTGTATCGAAGTTTGAGAACTGCTCTAAGCCCACCACACTATCTGCTGGCCACCCCCGTTCCAGGTAAACCAACCCCTTGGCCTGGGAAGGGCCTCAGGGAGCACTCCAAAGTGCCCAGCCCTGCTTTCCACACTTCCTAGGATGCACAAGGAAAGCAGGCTGTTTTCCAGAGAACCTAGGTAGAGGCCTGGGCACGGTACTTAGCAGCCACCAGGAGCCACTGGTGAAGATGTATTTCCTGTCCTTATGTCTGCTCACCACTACCAACACCCTCACATCTCCTGCAGTCATTCCCTTTCCTGTCCTACCTCTTCCTCCCAGTATTGAAAACGGATCAGCTAGTGAAGTGATTCACCAGGCTCTAATGTCAGAATTTCGGCTCTACAGCTTGCTTGCTGGTGAATTAGGAAAACTACTTAACTTCACTAGCCCTCAGTTACTTCCTCTGTCAGTGAGGATGCTATAATAGTGCCTTCCCCTTGGGCTTGCTGTGAAAGCTCTCAATCTGGCATTTGGATGGCTGGCACCTCATGTGCAGATTGGGACCTGTCCACTGACTTAGTCTGCACATTCGCCCTCTCCTTTAAAGGACTACACCACTGACAGGCAAGGTCACACAACTCAGCACCTAACTGTAACTCTCCCATAGAGATCTCTGTGCCGCTGGTTTTCTCTCCTAACCTGGATCTTAAAAGAAAGGATGGCTGTTGTGTTTACAGATTGAAAAAGTAATTCATGCTTATTACAGAAAATACAGAAAAATATAAAAAAAAGAAATAACTTATCCACAATCTCTCCTCTAAGAGACAATTGTTAACATTTAGAGTGTCCTCTTCCAAATAAGAAGATCTCACGGTCAGGAAGGAAAGGACCAAGTCTTAATGTCCTTGATAACTTCCCCGACTTCCCCACGTCCAATACCTCTCCACACTCCCAGCACCTAACGTAGCACAGTGCTGAGTACTTAGCAGCAGACAAACCCATACGTGTGCCTCAGCCGACTGCTGTAGTGACGTAAGTGGCTTGTCCCTGCACTTATATGTACACTGTCTACATACAGAAACAGGGATGTTGTCAGAGTTAGTGATGTAATATGTTTGGTTCATATGTAATGTGTCTGACACGAGTTGCTCCTATCTGCATTCTATGGGGCTACTGTTTGTGTTGGATGGTGAGTGTGTTTCTGGTTTCCCTTTCGATGTGCTCAGATTTCACTTACCTACAGGAATGGTCATCCCGTGAATTTTATCAGCCCAGCCTGCGTAGTACCGAAGAGTTTTGATGACTCCCTGCAAATCCACGTAAAAAGCTTGCAAGAACGGTTTGCCACCATTTAGGGATTCCATGGTCTGTACGAAAAGAAATGGAGAGAACTTTCCAGTGACACACAAAATAATCTCTAGAGCAGAGGAAAATGGAAGAGCGAGAATGTGAATGAATACGAATAGTGATTCATACCTGGTCAGTTCTGATTTCCCAAATGAAAAGATTTTTTAGTACTGCCAGTTTAGGTAAGTCTCTAGTAAAAACCACAATGAATATGGATGCACATGTTTTTGTGCCTGTGCGTCTCCAGTAACCACTATCCAAATGCATAAACACAACGTTTCTTCAACTAACGATAAAGAAATGTTCTGCCTGTCAAACCAGCTTCTGTTATATTAATGATCAGAGCTGCGTGGGGATGTGTTGGAGTCTAGACCAGTAATCTGAATCCATAAAGAGGAGCAGCGACATGGGCCTTTATGCAACTGATGAGAATATAAAGCGTTTTCCACCGCTGCCAAGACCCCTGCTGAGAAATGGAATATCCACCGTGCACAGTGACTTTATTTATTACCATCAAATAAACAAGAGCTCCTCTAGGGAAGCTCACACTTTAACAACTTCAGGGCTGCTTTTTGGTAAATATTTATGTTAACAACCATTACCTATTAAAAGTGAAGTATCTGTTCCATTGAATAAAAATAGACATATTGAGCAGTTGTAGATTACAAATGTTTCTATTTGAACGAGGTGTTCCTAAACTGCTTGAATTATAGCAACAACCATAAAAAGCCACATGGACACACTGAAATGAGAAAGGAGTATTTAGACTTGAGAAATATTGAAGGTGTTACAAGTTTAATGAATTAAAATAAGCAAAAACATGTTTATAATCTCATGTCCTTCTCTGTGAGGACACTTTATTACTCATACTGGTGTGAAAATGATGTGAGCGTTGACAAAACTTAAGATGGAAATATTCTCCATTCGATGACATAAAAATACAATCACTTACAGGGCAACATACCCACTCACGCGGGTAAGGATCTGATGGGACTCACGTGCATATAAGATAGGACTCATTTTAAAAGATGCCATCACTTATCACTGTACATTGGCTCACCTTTACCAAGGGGAATCCAATTATTTCCCAGTACTTTTGAGAACATGTATATGTTCAGGAGATGGGCATTATGTTCTCCAGGCAGCCAGCACAGAGCCAAGCTCCACACAGTATAGAGTGAAGTGCAGTCAGTCACCAGAATCTGAGCCACCTACATGGTCCCAATGAGCTGTTGACAACAGCCAATTTCACCTGAGGGTTGCCAGCCCTATGTTTATTTTCGATTAATTATATTTACTTGGATGAGGTGTTAACTTCATTTTCTGGTCAGAAGCTCCCGTCTATTCCAGAGGCTATCTCTTATTAAAAATCACTCCTCCCATGGCCTGAGGAGTGTTTAAAAACAGAAATCTCATTTAAGTGTAATGGCAAAAGGGAACTGATCACGGTGAGGCATATGTCCGAAAAAGAATGGCATGTGAATTTTATGACATGAAAATATAACTGCAGTATGTGTGTATGTATATATATATATATATATGTATATATATATATATGTATATATATATGTGTACACATATATGTGTGTATATATATGTGTGTGTATATATATATGTGTACACATATATATATACACACTCTAGTCTAATGTTGTAAATATTGTATAGATTTCACTCAATTAAACAGACACTTACAGACAATCTATATGCCCTCTCTACCTAACCACTTATGTCCCAGGAACACAAAAGAAGTAAAATATAGTCCTCACGCTTGAAGAAATCATAATCCAGTGAAGACATAAGCCTGCAGACCACCATTTCCCCCCAAGTGTTCCAAAGAATTCAGTTTTGCACGATACTGATAGATTAGCCAGAAAAATAGTGTTGAGGCTTAAACAAATCTGAGAAATAGTGACTAGGGCTTTTCCGAGTCTCTAATAGATCAGTGTCTTGTGAACATCTGAGAAGGAGCTACTTTACCCGGAACAAACACCTTTATTGCAAAACGCATAAACACCTCACTGGAACAGTCTTCCGTGAAGTACCAGATTAGATAATGTTTTTATAGAGAAGTAAATGTTACAGGGGCCAGAGTTCCAAATAATCTCCATAAAGGATTCATTTTTGTTCCCATACTATGAACAGATCCTGGAAGGGGATGGCTGGAAGAATGATGGCAGCAGTGACACTGAGGAAGGACGTAAGGCTTCCCCCTCCCAGAGCAAGCCCAATTGTGCTCTGTTTTCCCACGTGAAGGGTAGGATACAGTGTTCACGGTTTGAACGCCTGACTGAACAAGGACGCCCTAAACGTTAACTGATCAACAGTGGATTATCCAGGAGGAGATCCCTGGTGCACAACACAGACATTCCCAAATGGTTCCAGTTTCAGGCAGTTCGTGTTCCCTAAGAAACGGACTTTTATCTTATAAAGAGCAAAAACAAATACAAAAACCACTAGGAGAGAGGATGCTCCTTATGTGAGAAAATGATTTAGCGAAAGACAGTTGCTGTCTCCTGCTCTCTCTCCTATCCCCTGGTTCTAGAAAGTGGCAGAAGAACAAAGGGGGCAGAAGTGCCTGAGAGGCCCTCTGCTTCTGAAGGATTCTCTTTAGTCAAGAGACGTTAACTCTGGGGAGGTAAAAAAACAGTCCTATTTGATCCTCAAATGAATCATTTGGTGTTGGTTTTCCCTAAGCTTCATGGTGACTCTCCTGCTGCTTAACTGTTTTTGTTTTGATTTGTCGGTTGAGGGTGGGCTAAGGTTGGAAAGGATGGCAAGAACGTCCTTTCTAGTCATGGGAAGCTATGGTTTTGTTCTTCAAAATTTACTAAGAAGAGACCCTCAGCTAGTCTTGCACCTCCCCATCTGATCCCAAAAGCCAAACACCTCTCATTTTTCATGTGTATTACGTTCTCTTCAGCTTGTCCCCCAAGTTGACTTCACACCACATTTTCAGAAAGGCTGAGGAATCTACATTTCAGTGGAGTAGTAAATTTAGGGTAAAGACTTAATGTTTTTTTAGGCTACTTACTGCAAGAACTGCCCTGTCTCGCTCCACCAAGTCTGCAAGCTTATCCAACAGACGGCCTCTTTCTGAAGCGTCCATCCTTCTCCACACTGAACCAAGAGAGAAAGCCAGGCGGGCTGCCTGCACTGCTTTGTCTATATCTGCCTGTTAGAGAGAAAGAGGCACAACTGAAGAGAGAGAACACTCCGAATAAAGGAAGAACCACCTGCTTCGATGAAAAAGGTGATGAATGAATGTCAGTGCTGGTGTCTGGGGAGGATAAGCTTAGTGCTCTGTTGTCTGAAAGCAGTTATTTCATAGGGAATCTTTTTCTAAGAAGGACATACCTTGTCTGCTTCTTGAACTTCACACACCTGCTCTCCTGTGGCTGGATTATAGACAGGGAACACTCTCCCACTCTCTGAGTTCTGCCACTCGTTGTTAATAAAAATCTACGGAAGTAGACAACAGAAGGGGATCGGTGAGACACGTGATAGGAAGCCAACCAATGGTGAAGGATTATGGAAGTGCCATGGTAGTGATATTTGTTCTATATGTTTGTTGGCACGTAAGTATAGAATTTGAAGCATTACAAGAGACCCTTAACAGTATGCAGTCCAGCCTCTCCCCAAATTCAGAAATTTCCTCTATGATATTTTTATCTCAAGTTTATCCTAAGATTAAACATAGTTCTTACCTCTAGTGAACCTGCCAACCAGTGAGGGAGTCAAACAAAGATGGAAGCACAGAGTCTCACATACATACAAACAATACACAAAGCTGAGAAAATATTTACTGACTGTCCAAACTCTGGCCAATATCCAAAAGGAGTAAATACCATGGAACAAACTGAGAGTCACCATGCTTTAGATCCTAGTTTCTCTCTCAGAGGCATAAGTAACTTCACAGGGAACTTGAAGGGTGCTGAAATAAGTAAGCATTCACTTAATTTATAGTCAGATCCTGAACTGTGCAATGACTCTAACTGGTGAGTTAAACAAGTTACGTGTGTAAATCCAAGTTAGATTTCTTCCCCTTTGCTGGGTAGGCTACACGACTCAGCAAAGGGAAAAGGCCTGTCTTTCAAACTGGTCTCTCAAGAATTTCTTAAGAGTCTTGGTTTCCTTATAAAGGAAATGAAGATTATATTAAAATGGCAAAGAGACTTATAGTTAAAAAAAATATTCAAGTTAGTATCTCAGAAGATTTGTAAGGACTGAGTTGAAGAAAAGGAGAAAATATAGGCAAAGACATGTAAAATTTTTTATTGATATTAAAGAGAGAAACCCAAACAAAACGTTTGGACTATGACAGCTCAAAGAATACACAAAGATATTTTACTCTATAAAATTTATAGCATTACCATGAAAATTTCTGAAGTCAGAAGCCATCAGTCAATTTAGAGCAAACACAAGGATAAATTGATTTGTTATTGTCTGCCATTTTAGTAAATCACAGATGAGGCTAAATGAAGACATCTACAATTTTAAATACTAAGTTCTAGATTATTCCAAAGCTTTATTTTGCCTTGATTTGATAAAACAATAAAGCCTATGTTTCCCCTTTTTAAGACAAAAGAGAAAAAAGACCTTAAATCTGCATAAGCACTTAATTCAAAAGTAACAAGCATAAACACAATGGCCTTGTAATTGTAGAAATTTTAAGTGTATGATTTATGAACATGCTTTATAATTTACAACAATTTATAAACAATTTCTAAATGTAATGTATTCATTTATTCAATAAGTACTTAGATACTCCTAGACCTAGGAGAGGCAAAGAGGACTAGCAGTGCCAGCCCTCCAGGGTCTTACAGTCTCTAGTAACTCACTAAATATTCACAACCTTAATGGCAGAATTTTATTACCACTACCAAAGATGAGAAAGTTGTGAGGATGGGAGGTTAAGAGTCTGATGAAGCAGGTTCTCATTGTGGCTCTGACTAGTCTACTGCTCTTTCCAGTGTTATCAGAGTCTGCGGGATTGCTCAGTCCAAAGAAACGAGTTCGTGTCCAAGCCTAAATTAGATCTATAGTTCTTGGATTCCTGGTCTAGTTCTCTTCCCACTCCATGTAACAAACTTCCTAACAGTTCACAGTTGATCATATCTGCACACTCCTTTGAAACACAGTATGACCTCCAAGGTAACAAAGGACAAAAATTGAGAGGTTAGTTTCACTTCTAGAGCATTATCAGGTTTAAGGAACCTTCTTAACCTTTTTAATCCAATTTTAGTTTTTAAGTTTCTTTACTGAGCAGTTCTAACTATCTGTAAGAATTGAGATTTCATGACCTTTATTGATTCTTAGAGGTCTTCCAAAGATCAAAGAGAAAAATTACTTATTTTTTAACAGGATAAAACTCATTCATTCTCTTACTGTTTTCATTTAGGTGTATGGATCATCTTATAAATTTAAGATACACTACAGGACCTTAGTGATCTTTTGCTATTTTGTCATCCTAGGAATTACTTCATCATCACTCAATTATTTCCAACCATGCTAAAAAAGAACAAAACAAAAAATTGTGGAACTGCCATAGAATGAATAAATAATTACAACTATTTCATCATCCTTCAGTTTTCATATTGTGTTGTCCAAACTAATGCATCATCTTTTGGAAGCACATAAAAGAAGTCTGGAGACACCATCTTTGTCATATTCTTTTTAGATTTCATTGAATGCATTTAGGAACTCAGAATTTTTCATTTCAGTCCATCATGAGTAAGAGAAGATTACAGAGAAAGATATTTCACAACCGTAAATGAGTCAGAAGATGAAGGCAAAGAGAGAGAAACACTGGAGACTCTACTGATGAGGGTGAAGTTGACGAAGCAAAAGTATGGACTATTTTCTCAAACTCAGGAATTACAGAGCAAACAAGATATTTATGAATACACCAAGAAAACATGATATTCTAACTCAGTCATTTAATAGGACAGAGTTAATTATTTAGTATTTTCCAACAAGAACCTGGACCACCTTGTTTTGCTAAAAGGATATGTGATAATTCTTTTATCTTTTATGATATCTGTGTGTAAAAATTTACTTGATATGATTCATAAGGTGACTAGAGGACACATATTATGTAGAAATAAAATTTTTCATTGATCAATCTAATCTACGTTTAAATTAGAAATTTAAATTAGATATTAAAAACAGGGGTGTCGATTGAGCATCTGACTCTCGATTTTGGCTCAGGTCATGAACTCACGGGTTCATGGGATTGAGACCTGTGTTGGGCTCTGTACATTCAGCACAGAGCATGCTTCAGATTCTCTCCCCCCCTCTCTCTGCCCCTACCCCATGTACTTTCTCTCAAAATAAACTTTAAAAAAAACCTAAAAAAAACCTAAAAATGGAAACATCCTGTAATTATGGAACACAAAGATAGCCATCCTCTTTAATACAAAATTATAAGCACTCAAACTTTTCAGTAGCATTACATTGTGAAAATGCACATACAAGAACCAGAAGTAACAATAAGCTGTAACCTATTAGAGATCCAACAGACCCAGATGGTAAATGTGATGACTATTTTTCCTGGTATGCTGAAGGTTAAAATATTTGATTTTTACTAGGTTATTCTTTTTATAGACCTAGCCTTATGACACTTAAAAAACTTGTACTGATAACTTTGTTGGTACACCGACTAGCAAATACCTCTAATACTTGAAGATTTTCAGCTTCTCTAGGCTATTTCAAAAATTTTGAATACTATATCAATAGTTCTTCCCTAACCAGGCTCCCAATGGCCAATACTGACATAATTTAAGCAACAAAATAGATAATGATAGCAATGATTACTCATAGAATGAAAAAGGCACTCAAGAGCCCATAATGATACAAATTATTTTAATGAATATATAAATGGGGGGATAAGATGAAGTTCTGCTTCATAGGAGAATTCCAACTAACAGCTGTGAAGGAATGGTGGAATTAGATAATCACCATTTGTCAAACATCATAGTAGTAATTGCTGGAGGCAAAATCATCAGTGGATGATAAAATTGGTGGGTAAAAGTATAATGAAAAATTGGATGTTAATGTAGTCTCAAAGTATATTCCCACAAGATACTTCCTAATTACAAAGGGAAAAATAGAAACTTTATTAGAGAAACTTGACAGACACCACCTTAATCAAGCAATCAAGGTTAACATCACCAGTAATGCAACAAATGAATTGTTATTAACATTTTATCTGCATGTCCTACCAATAATTAAAAAGCTGTGTTGAAATCTCTTGCTTTGGTTGTGGATTTGTCAGTATATCTCTTACAGTCTTCATTTATATCTTTATAAATTTTAGGTTATTTTATTAGTGAATATAAAATGATTTTTGTACATTATCCTTATATCCTATAATTGTTTATTAGTTCCAGAAGGGTTTTTTTCTCTTTTTTGTGTGTTTGAATTCTTAGGGATTTTCTACCTAGACAATCATGTTATTTATGAACAGAGACAGTTTTATTTCTTCTTTCCCAGTCTATATACATGTTATTTCCTTTTCTGGTTTTACTATATTAGGTAGGACTTTCAGCACAATGTTCAACAGGAGTGGCAAAAAGGGGTTTCTTGTTCCTATTCATAGAAAGCATCTATATAATTTCTTGTCATTAAGCATGATGTCAGCAAGAGGTTTTATGTAGGTATTTATCATCCAGTTGAGGAAATTCCTTTATTTTTAGTTTGTGGAGAGTTTTTTTTTTTTTTTTTTTTACCATGAATGGGTGTTGGATTTTGTCAAATGCTAATTCTAAATGTACAGATGCTATCGTATGAGTTTTTTTCATTAGCCTGTTGATGTAACAGATCATAATAAATGATTTTTGAATTCTGAACCAGTCTTGTATACCTGGAATAAATCCCACTTTGTTGTGGTGTATAATATACTGTTGGATTTTATATGTCAACATTTTTTACAGTATTTGCATTTATGTTAATAAGAGGCATTGGTCTGTAGTTTTCCTTTCCCGTATGTCTTTATCTGGTTTTAGTATTACAGTAATGCTGGCCATATTAGATGAGTTAGGGAGTGATCCTTTTGCTTCTATTTTCTGGAAAATACTACACAGAATTGGTATGTTTGCTAGAAATCACCACTAAAACCATCTGGACCAGGGGCATCTGGGTGGCTCAGCTGGGTGAACATCCGACTTCAACTCAGGTCATGATCTCAAGGTTCATGAGTTCAAGCCCCACATTGGGCTCGCTGCTGTCAGTGCAGAGTCTACTTCAGATCCTCTGTCCCACTCTCTACTTGCCCCTCCCCTGCTTGCTCTCTCTCTCAATAATAAACATTTAAAAAAATCTGGACCAGTGCTCTTTTATTTTTGGAAGGTTACTAATTACTAATTCGACTTCTTAAATTTATATGGGCCCATTTAGGGTTAGCCAATATGAGTTTCCATCCTTGGTTCCCACCACCAACTATTCCTTTTTTGTGCATCTCT